CTGCTTTCACTATGAGTAATATCTCATGCCTGCTTTCACTGAGTAATATCTCATGCCTGCCTTCACCATGAGTAATACATGTATCTCATGCCAGCCATCCCTGAGTAATATCTCATGCCAATCTTCACTGAGTAACATCTCATGCCAGCCTTCACTGAGTAATATCTCATGCCAGCCTTCACTGAGTAATATCTCATGCCAATCTTCACTGTGAGTAATTATTCTTGCTTAACCTTCTTGACCTCACAGAGATTGTGCATTCTGCTATTGGTGATAACACATAGAGACCCAATCATCCCTGATACAATTTACATGTGCCATATGTTCAGTCTTTTACATGTTATATATTTTCAATTGAGTAGCAATATATATGTAAGAAATTGCACAGTAGAATACTTTAATGTATAGATAGTAGAATTAATTACAAAATGGATAGAGCACCTCCATCGTTCTTGCTGATACATTAGTTTAACCACATGCAAAAAAGTGGTGCATCTTGTCAGAACCAAACCCTATATTTCTCAAGATGTACGTGTTAGAATAGAAAATTGATTGCCGCTTAATTATATCGCACCTTCCCTGGTATGATAATAATAATTAAGACATACAGTGAAATTGAGTACTTTTATTATGAAAGCAATTACATTATAGAATATTCCACCCACATATTAAAATTGATTGCTACTCATTTCTGTCTCCAAGGTACTTTTACTGTTATTAATTCAAATATCACCATCACAATTTCACTTATTTTCCACTTCAATATTATCCCCTTCTTTATTAAGTTCAACACACCTGTGAAGAGTTTAGTTTAATTTCCTGTCACAGATGGTATTATCTTTGTTGTGGACTCTTTCATCTTACACTTTTATTACTAAAAAAAAAAACTAAGGACATTGTTTAAAATTATAAAAATAATTATATATTGTGTATGCAACTCGTGACAATATATGCTGTTGAGAAACGTAGCTGGCCAACCAATTATTTCAACAAATTTAATTCATTTTCATCTTCCAAATTGGACATATGGGAAAACCCTTAGCTCACTTTTTACAAAGCTTTAAGTTGTATTTTGATGAAGTAAGTCTAATATATTTATGTTGAATTATATATGTGAAGAAATCAGCAGTGCAGTGGTTTTCTTTGATAAATTTTTGTGCTAGGACATATCAGAACAGAAGTCACTGTTGTCTCTCCTTACTTCTTTGTATGTGATAATTAAAAGTTTATACCAGTCTATCAAACCTTGTAGTTGGAAGACAGGGAACACTGTACTAGGATTTGTACTGCTTAGTGAACAGTCGGCTCGGGGGAATGAATCCAGAACCTTGAGGCGAACACGATAACCAATGATCCATCATTCAGGTTAAGCTGCAGTGATTTCTCAATAAAATTGGTGAAGATGAACTAAACTATATATCTTCAGGATGTTTCTGTTTCATTTGCCATGATTTAAAGAACTGCTGTAGTTAGTTTAAAATGTTTCCCCTAATATGAACAATATACATAGAATATATTTGCAGCCAGACGGCTATTATACGTCAGTGATTTGATAATCATCACCTGATAATAGTACTGTGATGTCTTTTTTTTCCATTTAGAGCATTTATTGGTTTTCCTTTTATTCTTCTCAGGGGCTCAGTCTCGTATTCCTTTGCATGCTTACTCAACCATAACGGTAGAGTTAATAGTGTGGTCAAACATGTACATGTGTGTGTGTGCGCATTTACTGAGTAATAAATCACAACCCCATAAGATATATCAATGAAGTGAGGAAATGCAGCCAAGCTGAACACATTTCTACAGTGTTGACTTTCAGCTGA